ATGGATGGATAGGTGGATGGATAGATGGAAAGATAGATAGATAGATAGATAGATAGATAGATAGATAGATAGATAGATAGATAGATAGATAGATGTATAGGTGGATAGATAGATAGATAGATAGATAGATGGAAAGATAGATAGATAGATAGATGGATGGATAGGTGGATGGATAAAACACACGGCCATTATCTCAGAATAGATATTTCCTTTTTTAATAACAACCAAAGCTGTAACAAAAATACAAAAGTATACAGGCAGCTCAAAGTAGAACTACGAGTTAAATATACAAAAGCAAGAAGATATTCCTAATAAAAGCCATATTTAATAAGTGCATACGCTTATAAAGAACATAACATAATTGTTAAGGTACAGTAGCTGGCTTTAATTATTCAAACTAATGCACATTTTTCTTAAAGCAGAGTTTTTACTTATAAAATGATGGAAAAGCCTGAGTTCATAGTTCAAATGCATAGGATGTTTACATGTTAGAATACATCTACTCATAAACCAACTTCCTGCTATTTTTCACCTCTCCAAAACCTCTTCGCCCCTGAGCTGAAATGTCACTATATATACTCTGTGTCCTCATTTTTTAAATTGTTTTAAAGGTCACCGATTGTGCAGAATCCACTTCTCCATGTCTCTTCTACATCAACATGTGTCCCCTCTTCTTTATGTCTCTTCTACATCAACATGTGTCCCCTCTTCCTTATGTCTCTTCTACATCAATATGTGTCCCCTCTTCTTCATGTCTCTTCTACATCAACATGTGTCCCCTCTTCTTCATGTCTCTTCTACATCAACATGTGTCCCTTCTGTGGAAAGAGACTCTGAAAGTTTCAGGAACAAAGATTCTCTCTCTTTTTGATCCATTTCTATAAAAACCTGTCTGAAAAGGAGCTGATCAGATTTTGGCCACTTTATGATGTCATAACGATGTTTTGTCTTGTGTAACCATTAGCCAATCAGCAACCAGGGTAACCCCCCTCCCCCCCTTATCACCTGTATCTCCTCTAGAGCACCATTGAGTTCTTTGTAACCAAATGTCTCTCAGAGGGGCGTGGGGAGGGGCTCCTTGTTTTCATCTAAAGTAACAGACAGAGAATCAGCACTTTGGAAACAGGGCTGAAACAGAGGGGATTATGGGTAATGCTGCAATGATCTGTTTGGTGTTTCAGCCAATCAGAGACAGGCTCTGGATATATCTGAGACCTGTGATATATTGATGAAGGTATGATAGGGGACCTTTAACACATTTTCCTATTAACTTTTTATCCGAATTTCCGCCAGTGTCGTCGGGCGGAATATTATCTGTCACTGAACTTCCATCACGTAAATAGACTCCCTCATTAAAGCATGATTTTGGTCTATTTCATCCAAAGTTAGATTGTTTCTTGTTTAATTGTATACTTTTAATAATTGTATAGTGTATAAAAAGTATTTTGAAAAATCCAGTTTATCCAGATTTTGATTTTAATAAAAATAATAATTTAACGATTTGAAAATTGGAAATATAGAAAATAATTGACTTTATTTCATTTAATGGTTTGATTTCGCACGATATATTTGTAAATTCCTCTACATCTGGGAAATAAATTAAGAATTAAATAGATTTAATTGTTTAAGTCTGAAAACTGTCTTTTTAATTTCCCCAAAAATGAAAAAATGAAATGAAAAAAAGCTGCATTTTTGATACCAGAAATATAGTTTGCTCTTTCAAATCCCTGTGACCCTCTGCTGCCTCGTCATGCCACTGAATAAAGTGAAAGTAGAACTATATTTATTTGGTTGTGATGCTATATTAGTGGATGTTTTCTCATGTTTTCTACCCCTTAAAGTTCTGGAAGATCTCTGCGGCTTCGAGCCAAGAGCTGAAGCACGACAGCCCTTTGTCTCGGATCTGTTTCCGTCCTTTTTCCGTGATCACGTCTCCGTTCTCCTTCACGATCACCAGCTTAGGAACCGCCGTGATCTTGTAGCGCTGCTTCAACTCACTGCAGAGAAAAGAGACACTAAGTAAAAACAACTGAGAACTGCAGCTTTACACATTTTACTTTGTCAATAAAACATGTTATTATTGGTATAAAGTATACGTTGATATAAGGAAAACTTTGAGATACTTTAACTTTAATTTATGAATATTTTGCACTTTGTTATTAGGTAGGTAGGTAGGTAGGTAGGTAGGTAGGTAGGTATAGGTAGGTAGGTAGGTAGGTAGGTGGGTAGGCAGGCAGGTAGCTAGGTATAGGTAGGTAGGTAGGTAGCTAGGTATAGGTAGGTAGGTAGGTAGCTAGGTAGGTAGGTAGGTAGCTAGGTAGCTAGCTAGGTATAGGTAGGTAGGTAGGTGAGTAGGTGGGTAGGTAGGTAAGTAGGTAGGTGAGTAGGTAGGTAGGTGGGTAAGTAGGTAGGTAGGTAGGTAGGTAGGTAGGTAGGTAGGTAGGTAGGTAGGTAGGCAGGTAGGTAGGTAGCTAGGTAGCTAGGTAGCTAGCCAGGTATAGGTAGGTAGGTAGGTAGGTAGGTAGCTAGGTAGGTAGGTAGGTTGATATCTAAATTAAAAAAACGTAGAGAGAAAATAAATATTTATAATCTAAGAAATAAAAATCATTAAACATCTCTCACTTCTTGTAGTCGTCCGTCCAGGGCAGAGCCAGCCAGTCTCCGTGCATGTCGTGGTAATACTCCACCATATCGTCCGCAGATTTATCAGAGGAGATGAAAACGATCTCAAACTGAGCAGCAGGCTCCCTCTCCTCCACCAGCTCCGTGTAGAAGTCACACAGGATGGGCGTGAAATCCCTACACGGCGGACACCACCCTGCAGAAAAGTAGATCCCCACCACTTTGTTCCTCAGAGCCTCCTCAGGATCCACTGTTTCCCCCTCTTTATTCAGGATGGTCCTCCCAGAAAACACCTCCACCATGTCTGCAGAAACACAGCTCCTCTCGTTATATATATATATATATATGTTGCAGCATCACAAAAAGACATAGCATTGCACATGCAAGGGATTTTCTTGGGTGGTGCAAACATAAACAATATCTGGTTTACTTACTGCACATATTTTATATGTTATTGCATTCTATTTCAAATGAAGATTACTGCTTTATTTTATTTTATATTTTATTCTTATTTTTTTGTAATGTTATTATAGTGTATTTAAAATTGTTCGCTATCTGTGTTTTTTTTAATCTTTGCTTTACTTGTATGTATGCACCACGACATCAAGTCAAATTCCTCATAGGTGTTAGGTCCCGGACACACCAGGCCGATTATCGGCGTCGGTGGGCGTCAGGCCGACGATGAGCGGCGACACGCCCTACTCAGATTGGTGTCCCCCGCACCGTCGGGTCTTTTAAACCCGCCGATTCAAGTCGGCCAAAGGCAGTCGGCAAAAGAAATCACTCTGATTGGCTGTTCAGCTAGCGAATCAGTGCATGAGAAGCGAAACGGAAGTGACAAACTATTAAGAAGGCAAATCTGAGATTCCATTTATCTCCAGCTCTTGACTCAGGTTGGGGAAAGCCCCGTGAGCTTCTCGCTGTAGAGTGAACATGGAACACGCTATTTGTTGTTTGTTTATATCACGCAGTCTGTTCTTCTTCTCTCGGTTATCACAGTCTGTCTTCCGGTTGTTTCCTCTTTTGAATGACGAATACACACTACCGCTGCCTGCTGGTAAGGAGAGTTATTGCCACTCACGCATGCACAGTTCGTACGTGCTCGGCTGAAGTCTTTACGGTGTGTTCCAGTGCGACACATGGCCAAGACGCAGGAGAATACGCCAACGCAACAGTCGGCGTGTTCTCTGGTGACTGCTTGGTGTGTCAGGGCCTTTACGGAGCCTACACACGGCGGCGTGCGTTGCCGCTTCAACGCTTCTGCCCATTTACTTTGAATGGGGTGACGTCACGATTCGCCGAACTGCATTCTGGGAGCAATGCTTCTCTCGCGGTGCTCTCTGCAAAAGTAGAGCAATGTTCTACTTTTGCCGCCTCGACGGAGGCGTCAGACAATCGAATCATATGCCAGTACAAGCTCTAGCCAATCAAACCGCGTGCTTGTGTGTCTGGGGCGGGACATTCATGTGATTGGTTGTTGGTCGAGTTTCAGCCCCCCCCGCCGGCAAGCGACAACGCAAGCCACCGTTTGTAGGCTCCGTTACGGTACGGTACGCTG